CCAAGGCAGCAAAAAAGAAAAAAAAAAGCTTCAATGCATAACATTTCCATGTTTCACACTTGATACAAGGTTATTTTTCTGAAATGATGTTTTGYGTTTGAGCCAAACTTGCCTTCTCCTTATTTATTGTTTAAAAGGCACKATGTTAATTAAAAAATGTACCCTGACAAACATTTTCTTTTAAAGTAAGTTCTGAAGGCAGACTTTAGAATCTTCACATCTTAGCATTTTAAGGCATGCTATGTTATGCTTTAGTTACACAAGTGCTCTGGTTTTAACTTGAAATGTTTAATATTGACCAAAATTCATTAAAAGCACTAAAATCTAATTATTTGACCCACTGGCACAACAAATGCAGTAGGACAATAAGACGACATGGTACATGACTCTGAAGTGAACTACCGGTACTGTTTGTTCTTCAGAAGCAAGCCGAGTCTACWGTTCACACACCTACTGTCAGATGAGAAGAATACATAGAAAGGAGTGCGTGAAGTGTGTAATCACTTTTGAACAAATAACGGTTTAAGACAGATGCACTTTCMGCTTCGAAGTAAAAAGTTCTCAAAGCTGACATATTTCATTCAGTCATAAGAAGCTTTAGGAATGCATTATAAACATAATTTCCAGACAAAGTGAAATGTTTTCTGTAAAGCAGCAAAAACATTTGTATGTCGTTGTTATTTTGAGAATGRTTTGCTTGTGTTTGTGTTTGCTTAATCCAAACATATCTCTCGAACAACTCTTACAACTGATTAAAACCTGGAGTCAATCTAATTTAAGATGGTCAGCTAAACGTAATTTAGCCAACACAGTATTGGAACGCTAGCAGTTTTACAGCTATTGAGCTTAAKTGAGGTYTGGTAGCAGCTAAAMGTAGTATCCCACATAGCAGACAGGTGTGGGCCAGAACTGGTGTCAAGCTGGCACAGCTGGTATGGCAAATGGTTCATCAAGTGGATGTGGGTCAGGTCTGGCAATGATAATACGGTTTTTAAGATGGCATACCACACTTGGCCCAGTTGTGGTTGGGTTTATGTGGTTTGTGTGGGCCAGAACTGGGCCAGACAAATTGTTGTACTTTTTGGCATTGTAAGGCGACAAAACTGRGGACGACATCAAGCTCGAAGGAAAAGAACCGAAGACTGGACCATCCAGCAGTATGATCCTGAAGACACAAGGACAAGACGAGAACGGTAATCTATTGTTGTTTGGTAGCTCGCTGCTGTTGTTGTGTAGRTGAACTTGTGTGGAAAYAAATGTTACAGTCGCTGCAAATGATTCAAATGAAGTTAATCTCATCTGTGTGACACCKCCGGTCAGTGAACCTGTGAATGAGCAACAGTAGTGGGCATAAAATTGGGCCAAGCAGCAAGGCCCAAGTTYAACCAAATTGAACCACAAATCTTGGGGTTCCAGACACTGGGCTGGAATTGGGCCATATGGGTTGATGCAAACATGCCAAACATGGGTTTGGATCTAGGCTGGGCTGGGCTGGGCAGAGCCAGGCCTTACCGTGCAAAAAGGCCATATGCTGTCAGATCTCCCTAAGTTGCACAGTATCATGAAAAAGTCTCCAAAATGTCTTGCAACTCGTGTGGTTCTCCACTTTTTATGAGTCACAGAGACATATTCTTTGATTCAATTTGATTTTTGTGTAATAAGTGGTGGTAGGTTACAGCTACAGTATTTATTATTACTATGACTGATATAATGTTAATTCGCTGTAGTGAACTGACACGGTCACCTGGTGTATGATTGTATAACCTATACAGACTGAAAGTATTCTGTATGTTATAKTACAACCAACGCTGTGATGGTGAAACTTTATTTCTTAGAGAAGCACCAGTCTTCTTTCAGCCATTCAGCTCATTCAAACCATCTCTGTTCTATCCATATCCAATAAGCCAAGTGATTTATGTCAAGTGAAGCCAAGCATGGGCCATTAAATGSATCAAAATTTGTCAAATTTTTACCCCCTTTACTTTGGTCTTTAAATTGACACAGCTTACTTTTGAATATAAATTCCCAGAGAGCTTCATGTTGTTTTTAACTGCCTGCAGCAGGGCAATCAAAGCTCTTTTTTTTTTCACGCCAGACCAGAATACCACCTGCTTTGGTGAGAGATTTTGGAGGGTCCTTTTGAAAACAACAAGGCTTCYTGATTTGTTATTATAATTAGGGAGAGTGAGACTTTAGCACAAGTGCAGTTGCACTAAGTTACACTGAGCAGCTACAGCAGTTTTCAGGTCGACTGACTCGTCTTCTGGTCAGATGTTAATCAGAGGCGAGGTGAAAGCTGCTCGTGAGTCACCCTGTTGCTTGATATATTCAAAAAAACAAACAAATGCGTGTGTCCCAATCTGAATCGCAAATCGGCACGTTAAATAAAAACCACATTAATCTGTCCACCTCAGGTAGGTAAGACAACTGTTCCTCCCAATCAAACACGGGGCTTAACGTGGAGTTATACCCCAGTTAAAATCTGCTGCAGTATTTAATTCCAGGTCATTTCGTAATCTCTTTGAAAATCACGTCTGCACGTCTCTCTGCTCTTGCTCGCTGACAATCACACAGCTGCAAGCTGGCATGCTCGCTAAATCCTCCGCTGCAACACGCAAACTACACACTCGTACAAAATATGCATTTATGCACACGGAAATGCACAATTCCTTGGAAGATATCACTTGTGCATACACGTGCTTATGTTCACAAAAGCACTCAGGGACAAACAAATTCACTTACAAACAAACGGCTACACTCGTTTTCTGGATTAAAAGTAGATTGTTCTGTCATTAAAGCACAACTGAGGCAGTGGAAAACCCACATTTTTTAAACAAACACACATTTACAGATGCACTTGAGGACGAGGAGGAAATTAACACAGTGTGTGCCGACTGTGTTTACGTGGTTTSAATCCATCCCTGTGGTTCTGTTCACTTCATCACAGTTACGACCCAACCATCCAGCATCAACAGGCAGGTGAACCTTGTGTTTTGGTTCATCTCTTTTCTATCACTCCCTCCGCCCCCCTTTCTACTCTCTGCCGGCTCTATTTTCATCCACGTGCTTCCACTCTCCTAGCTTTCGAGTAATTACCTGGCATTTGCATTGCAAAGTCCTCTGTGCTGCATTCAGCTCCTCCACAGGTGACGGAGCTTCATTTACCCGGCAAACAAGAGAGGGAGGAAGTGGAAGAGGGGAAGGAAAGGAGGAGGATCGAGGCCGGGTGCGATGTTGTTCTGGCTTGCAGGGTGTTGGAACAATGTCCTGATTCTTTATTTACCTATWTATTTTTGACTCGAACATAGTGCGTTCAAGACAATATGTTCTACATTAATCTGCACTATCCCATCATAAGCACGGACTAAAGCTGCAGTCGATAACAGAGTTCCATGACTTTCATCAAGAGACCTGTATGTATATTGCACAGTGGGATAGGGTTCGTTTTCAGTGGAATTCTGGATCGAAAGTTTCTTTGATGACGTCTTGTAGAAAAGTGCTGCAGAAATGGAGAAAATATATGTTTTTAATACTGTAAATGTTGTGAGTCGTAATCCTTTAAAGCCAGTCTGGGATGTTACCTAAATGTGAACAAGTGATTATTTTGCTTAAACCTAAACAACAATAAATGCCTGGCAATCTTTGAAGGAATGCATCTCACTCATCCCATTTCATGCCAGAGTTTAAAACTAAAAMTGCCTTATGTTGAGAAAGAATGGAGTTACAGCAGTGTTCAAACCTTGTGAATGACTTGAGGTGTAAATGATAAAAGAATGACTCTCAGCTACAACACACAGTTAAGCTCAATATTTGTAAAACTGACTAAATTTATAATCACATTGTGTCAGGTAATTGATTAGCTGTGGTGACACTTTAAATTGGATTGACTACAAAAACTAACCASTTGTAGATGTACAGGTAATAATTAGGAGTTTCACTAGGACACGTCCGCTTGTTCATTGTTTTGCTAACAGTGATGACAAGTTATTGCCAGTGTTTTAAGTAAAAATATGCACACTGGTTAGTGCTTCAAGTCTGTGTTGGGGATGACACTCGGCATATATCACACCAAACAGCAAAACTGATTGGGCCTCATGCAAGAACATTTTTGTATTCTTGTCCTAAATTTCTCTTACCTTTTTTTTGTATGAAGGGTTTGTACGAACATGCCATGTCAGATTCAGCAAATGCTTCTAACATTAGGAAAAGTGTGTAAATGTGCAGCGTAAACATGATGAATGCCACTTGAGGAGAGGAAATTCTCAAAATTACCACCCCAATGGTAAATGGTAAATGGTAA